AAAAGAAAAGAAAAGAAAAGAAAAGAAAAGAAAAGAAAAGAAAAGAAAAGAAAAGAAAAGAAAAGAAAAGAAAAGAAAAGAAAAGAAAAGAAAAGAAAAGAAAAGAAAAGAAAAGAAAAGAAAAGAAAAGAAAAGAAAAAAGAAAGAAAAAAAGAAAAGAAAAGAAAAAAGAAAAAGGATAGAATCAAAAAAAAAGAAAAAAAAGAAATGGAAAGGAAAGGAAAGGAAAGGAAAGGAAAGGAAAGGAAAGGAAAGGAAAGGAAAGGAGAAAGGAAAGGAAAGGAAAGGAAAGGAAAGGAAAGGAAAGGAAAGGAAAGGAAAGGAAAGGAAAGGAAAGGAAAGGAAAGGAAAGGAAAGGAAAAAATATAAAACGAAAAATAGAAGAAATGGAAAAACGAAAACAAAACGTAAACAAAAAAAAAAGTAAAGGGAAATTAAACAAAAATACAAGGGACAAGAAATTTCTTAAAAATGGCAAAGGGAGAGGGAAAGAAACATAGAAGCAAAAGACGAAAACGAAAACGCGTCCGGGCAGCGCTCAGCGAAGCTCTCGGCCCGCAGCGAGCGGCGGCTCCGTTCCGGCCCCCCCGGGGCAGCACAACCGGGGGCGTTTGGGCCGAGAGGGGCCGTGCCGGGGACCCACTCGGGACCGCGCTGCCACCGGGCCGGGCGACCCCGGCTGCTCTCGGACGGCCTCGAATCCCAGCCGTGGCTCAAAGCCCTGGGGCGAGCGGCCGAATTTCACGCGTGTTCCTGCGTGCCCGCGGGGCAAGGCGAAAACCACGGGCCGATGGTTTCTGGCCGAGTTTAGCACAAATGGACACGAAGCTAAAAGGCCACAACGAGGTCTTGGCTCTCCCAGGTGCTAACCACGGGAGGATTCCCAAATCCTGCGTGCAGGAATAAACCCGTGGCGGGGACGGGGTGGCCACACGCGGGTGCGCAGGAGCGGGGGCTCCTACAGGGCACCCACGGGCACGCAGGGTGGGAGGGCACCCACCGGCTGTCAGCATGAGAGGATGGGAGAGTGCCCACGGAGACGAGTGGTGGGGGGACTCCCACTGCCCTCCGCGGACACGCGGGGACCCAGCTGAGCCCATGAGAACGGAGCCAATTCCTTGCACGGAGCCGTGGGGCCTCCTAAGCCCCGCGAGGATCACGGGGGTGTGTGTGTGGGGAGGGGGGGTCACGAAGTTTGCAGAGCTGCATCTGGACCGGGGAGGGGGACACACACGGGGACACAATGCGGCGGTGACAGCGGGTGTCCGAGATGGATGGCCCGAGGGGACGGGACGGGCACCGCCAGCTGCTGCCCAGATGCTTCCCCGTGGGGCACCCCTATTTTGGGGACCCCCCGGGGGGAGCGGAGCCAATGCCCCCCCCGGCACCGGAGGGAGGGATGCGGGGCCGTTGGGGGCCGCAGCCCCTCACCTCCCACCCCCCACCCCCGCTGCGGCTCTGCCCGGGCCCCGGCTGAATAATTAATGGTTCATCTGCGCACGGGGCGGCGAGAGGGGGAATTGGAGTGGAAAGAGGAGAAAAGCAGCAATTGCCATTTCGAGGGGCCCGGCGTGTTTATCGATCCGCGATTTACTGCCTCGGACTAATAACACCGGGTGGGCTCCTGAACACGGCGAACGGCCCGGGTCCCCCCTCTTGGACCCCCCCAACCCCTCCGTTGTGTTTGTACAGGGGGGACGAGGCCGGCCCCTGCCAGGCTGCTCGCCGCGTGGCAGTCATGGCCCTACGGCCCCTCCAGCAGCGGCGGGGTGGAAAAAAGCGAGCAGGATCGAGCCGCGGCCCCAGGACGGCCGGGTTGGGGGGGGATCGCCGACTCCCGGCGCGCCCCCTCCCCTATAAGCGCCTTTTCCGTGGACGTGGGGCCGAGCCGCGGCCGCGCCGTCGAGGAACGGGGTCGGTGGCGGCCGTGGGGTCTCGCTCCCCCGACGGCCTCCCCCGGCCTCGTTTCCCGGCGGGACAAAGGCAGCCCGGGGAGCCCCGCGCACCCCGAGCCTCCGCCCGGCGTCCCGGAGCGCCCGTCGGGGGGCGAGAGCTGTGGGGGGGAGGGAGAACGAAACGAAACCGGGCCCCAGCGGGGCGGCAGCGGGGCCGGGAGCCGGGAACAAAGCGGGGAGAGCCGCGGGGAGGCCGGGGGTGTGGGGAGGCCCGGGCTCGCGTGGAGGCCCGGGGCTGAGCGGAGGCCCGGCCGGCGGATCCTCCGTGGGGCGGCCCGGTGGGGTGAGAGCCACGGCCTGGTCCAGTCGGGGTCGCCGGGGTTTGGCAGAGGCGAGTTCCTGGCGGGGTGCGTTGTGTTTGATCGTCCTCGCAGAAAGCAGAGAATTAAACCCCCGTCCCTACGAAATTTGGATTTTCTATTTCCGGAAATATCGTCTCTTGGCGCAAAGCGCCGCTGGGACCCAGGGAAACGCGGCGTAAGGAATTAAAAACCATTTTAAGGAAAAAAAATCTCCCCCGACAGCTCGGGGACGAGCGGAGCGATGGAAGCGGGGGCAGAACCCGAATCCCCCGGCCTCCGCCGCACCGGGCCGGGCCGAGGGGGACGGAGCTCCCGCAGCCTCCCCGAGCCGGGGATTCATCCCCACCCTCACAACCACGGGTATTATTTCAAATTTTGGCGAGCCAGGAGGCAGGCACCCGCCGCTCAATTAGCCCGAACAACGGGGGCATTAAACGGCCGATCGCGGCAGTGTTTAAATCTTTATTTACCAGAACCTTGTAAAGCCAGGAACAATTTGCATTCTATTAACTGCTTTTCAATAGGGCATCGACTGGAACTAAAAGATGCCACTACCCTGCCCTAATTAAAGAGCAACTGAATTACACTAAATACATATGAACGCTGCTCTCCTCCATAAATAACGGCCGGCTCCTCGCCGTGCGCAACCCCCAGCGGGCCGGACTCTGCCCGGTCGCCCCGGGAGCTGCGATCTCCGCAATTTTTCCCCCGGGTGGTGGCAGCCCCCGGCCACCCCCGCCTGGCCCCGCGGAGCCCTGGAGCGGTTCTGTCGGGGCCGGTGCGGAGGAGGGGGGATGCGGAAGGGTGGCGGGGGGGGCTCTGACACCTCCTCTAGCTCTCCTGCCCTTTCGTCCGCGCACCGACACTGTGACCCCTCCGAGCCCCAGCGCACAGAAAACGCATTTTTTGTGCATGTGTGTAATTTTTTTTCTTCCCCCAGCAAACGCACGTCCCTCGGCCCAGCGCCGGGCTGAGGCCGAACGAGCCTCGCCGGCTGGGGGGGGGCGCGGAGCCTCCGTGCGCTCCGCACCCGCGGTGCCTCCCCGGGGCAGCTCCCGGTTCCCCCGGGCGCTTCTCCTGCGGGCAGCGTTTGCGGTGCCCCGGGGAGCGGAGCGCAGCCCCGGGTGTCTCCCCCTGATTTTCGCCATCCCCCTCCCCCGCAGCAGCACGGCTTCCCCGGTGCAAGCCCCCGGTAACGGAGGAGGGACCGGAGCCTGCCCGCAGCGCAACCGGGGCTGCGGGGACCCAGCGGCGGTGCCAAGCGCGACGCGGCCCCACCGGTGGCTCTCCGGGGGGGAAAACGGGGCCGGGGCAGCGGGTGGGACCGCACGGGAAACGACCCCCAGGGGGAGAGGCAGCCCACCGAGGGACAGTGCCGTGAGCACCCGGCTCCTGCCGCCTCCGAGCTCCCGTTTCCCGCTGTCAGGAGCAGGCCCGGGGCGGGGGGGTTGCGTTAAGGAGAATTTCCATCCTTGTCTTCGTAAGGCTCGGTAACCCCCGACCCGGCCCCGACCCGGCTCCCCGCTACCCGGGGCGCTCCTGGGAAGGGTCCCCACGCGTGTCGGTCCCCTCGCACCCCCACCGTGCCCTACCTGCGAGCCTGAGCGCCGACATCCTCTGAAATTCCGGCTCCTGCAACCATTTCCACATCCTCCGGAAAGTCTCCCGGCCCGACTTGAGCTTACTCCAGGGCTTGGGGTTCCGCAGCAGGTCCGAGAGGGTCCCTTGCGAGCGGCACAAGATCCTCTGCGCGAAGATCGCCTGCGGGATGCTGTAGCGCTTCAGCTCGGCCGTGATCCTCTGAGCCACCTCCTTGGTGTTGATCTCCTCCACCTGCCCGGAGGCTCCGGGCTGCGAGCCGGCGGCCGAGGCCTGGCGCTCCCGCTCGCCCAGGAGCGAGCCCCCGGGCTGGGCGTGCGGGTGGCCGTGCGGGTGCATCCCGTTGAGCGGGGGCATCATGGCCGAGCTGGGGGCCGCCAGCCCCCGCGCCAGGTGCTCCTCGCCCCGGGACAGCATCGCGGCGTGCGAGTCGAAGCCGTTGGGCGAGAGCATCTTCTCGTTGGGCAAGTGGCCGCCGGGGCCGTAGGGAGCCAGCGGCTGCTGGGCGTTGTGCAGGCTGCCCAGCCCGTTGGGGAGCGGCGAGAGGGGCTGCCCCATGGCCGGCATGTCCTTGGGGTAGTGGCTGTAGAGGTTGCCCATGGAGGCGAGGCTCCGCTCGTCGCGCATGAGGGTGAAGCTGCCGCTCACGTTGCCGGCGAGGCGCTGGTGCGGGTGGTGGTGGTGGTGGTGGTGGTGCGGGTGGTGGAACTTCTCCGACACGGTGGAGATGGGCGGCAGGTGCTGCAGGGGGGTCAGCGTGGTGTAGGTGCTGCTCAGGCTCATGCCGGACGGCGACTCGCAGGACATGCTCATGGCGGGGTGCAGCGGGGCGGCCAGGCTGTGCTCGGCGCGGTAGTCGCCCCCCTCCAGGATGGAGGCCATGCCCGACACCATGGCGGGCCGGCCGTGCGGCACCAGGTTGCGGTGCGAGCCCTGCCGCCCGTGCGCCGGGCTCAGCAGCTCGGCGGGCTGCGAGTGCGGGACGCCGTGCAGGCTGCCCAGGTTCTCCATCGCCAGCTCCATGGTGGCCGCCGGGCTCTGCCGCTGTCCTCGCCCGCTCGCTCGCTGCCTTCCTCCCCCAGCCCCGCCGCCGCCGCCGCCTCCTCCTCCTCCTCCTCCTCCTCCTCTTCCTCCTCCTCCTCCTCCTCCTCCTCCTCCTCCTCCTCCTCCACCGCCCCCCCCCCTCCCCGCGCCTGCTGCCCGGATTAATTCAGACTCCGCGCTCCGGGGATCGATCTCCCTCGCCCCGCGCTCAGGCCGGCATGCCGCGCCGCCCCTGCCCGGCCTCGGGGCGCTGCCGGCTCTGCTCTGCTCTGCGCTGCGCTGCGCGGGGGTTGCGCGGAGCGGAGCGGGGCGCGGGGCGTGCGCTCGGGGCGGCTGCGGCGCGCCTCGGCCGCCGGCTCCCGGCAGCCTCGCTCTGGGCCGCGGCGTGACGTCAGCGCCGCCCCGCCCCCCCGTTCCCCCCCCCCAGCCCCCCCCGCACCGAACCGAGCCGTGCCGCCCCCCCCCATATCCCCCCCCCCCCCGCCGCCTTCCCCGGTCCTTGGGTACGGGGGTGCCTGGCGCATGGGGCTGCGCACCCCTCATGCCCTATAGTGACCCCCTCCCCGAAACTGACCCCCTCCTGCAGTAACACCCCCCATAGTGGCCCCCCCTCCAGAGCTGACCCCCCCCAGGGGCTGACCCCCACCCCTCAGGGTGACCTCTCCCATTATCGGTGCTCCCCTCCCCCCCCGGGCACCCAGTGCACATCTGGCGGCGCTGCGCGGTGCCCCCCGCATACACCTGTGCTCATCTGGCTCCCCCCGCACATCTGGCTGCCCCCCCCCCGCACATCTGGCTGACACCCCCCACACGCTCACCTCTGGCTGTCCCCACCCTTGCGTGTGCTCCCAAAGCACCTGTGCCCAACGCCCCCCCTGCACCCCCTCTGCACCCCCCTGCTCCCCCCCGCACCTGCTGCGCCCCCAAGAGTTCCCCCCCAAATTATTTCTTTACCCAGGGCCTGGTTGACCCCCCCCCAGCCGCTTCTCCCCCCCCGTCTCCCCCAAACACTCCCCCTCTCTCGCACCTATGTCCCCACGCGTGTCCCCCCCACCTGCCCGCACCCATACTTGTGACCCCCCTCTCCGCCTCCGGGTCCCGGGCAGCTTTTAGGGGATGGGGTGGGGGGGTGCGGGGGCGCCTCGGCACGGGGAAGGCGACAGGGACGCGCGGGGGGAGGGCACACGGCGCTCTGCTGCAGGGGTGGGCAGGGAAGGGGAAAGGGGCAAAGGGAAGGAAGGGAAAGGGGATTAAGGGAGAGGAATAAGGGGAGAATAAGGGAAAGGGAGAGGGAAAGGGAAAGGAGAAGGGAAAAAAGGGGATGTGGGATGGGAAGGGGAGGAGGATGGGAAGCAGGAAGGCAGGGACGGGGAGAGCCGGTTTTAGGCCGTGGGCTGTCTCCTGGTGTCCACCCCAGGTTTGTCCCCCCCCAGGAGTGTTCCGGGCCCCCCTCGGTGTCCCGCAGGGTCGGGCTCCTGCGGGGAGCAGGGCGCGGCGGCCACCCCCAGAGCTCCCGGCCAGAGCCGGGGAAGCGGCTCCCGGTCCCCAGGCCCCGGCGTGCCCCTTGCCGAAGCTTTACTGAGTCACACGAAAACACAAAATCCGCAGCTTCCACTCACGCCTTCCCCGCGTGGGCCCCGGCCGGGCTCCGGCCCTGGTTAGAGCCTGGTTAAGGGAGGCTCCAGGGGGCCCCGGCGGCCGAGGGGCTTCTGGGGGGTTCTGGGGGCTCCCAAATGGGAACATCCCATCCCCATCCCATCCCATCCCATCCCATCCCATCCCATCCCATCCCATCCCATCCCATCCCATCCCATCCCATCCCATCCCTCTCCAAGCAGAAGGGGAACGCCGGTCAATTTCCTCTCTGAATTTGGGGCTGCGGGTAGGAGCCCCAATCCCTTCGTTCCCCTCTCTCCCGAGCACAAGGACCAGTGTCGCACCCGGCCGTCCCCCGCGCCCCTCAGACATCTCTTTAGTGCCGAATTCCACAAAATTCCCAATTCCATAAAATAAAGCCCCGTCAGTTCCTAGGATGCGGGCGCGGAGCAGTCACCGGCGGAGCGGGGGCCGAGCCGGGGGTGTGGCCCCGCTTTAACGCGGCCCGGCCTGCCGGAGCCGGGCTGGGCCAGGCCGAGCTGGGATTTGGGAAAAATTCACCGCTCCCCCCCCCCCCCCCCCGGGGTCATTGCTTCCAGCCTCGCTCTCAGCTCCCCTCTTTCCCCCCCCTCCTCCCCCCGAGGCCCGAAACGTGCCTGGGCAGCGGGACGAGCGGGGGGCGGTGCGGCTCCGGGGGGGGTCTTGCAAAGCCCCCAGGACCCAAGGGAGGCCCCGGGGGGGTCGGGGGGAGAGTGGAGGGGGAGGGGGAGGAGGGAGTTCCAGGCAGGTAACGGGACACGGAGCCGGGCAGCGCTGCGCTGGGGGGTCCGGAGCTGGGCAGCGCCAGGGGATCAAGGGACTTGGGGGGGCGTTAAGGGGGGGCTAAGGGGGTAGTGGGGGAGTGAGGTGGGGGGGCGCAGGGAGGAGGAGGGGGGAGAACGAGCAAGGGCTGAAGCAGCCGCGTCTGAAACGGTTTCATCGAGTGTAATAATGGCGATAGCGCATCGATCGGCCCATCGACCGCCCATCGATAGATCCCAGCCTGCAGCTGCCCAGCGCGCCCTCCGTCCCGCGCAGCGGCCCCGGGCCGGGCTGACGGTGGGGGACGGTGACACGGCCCCCCCCTTACCCCACAACCCCCCCTCCCCAGCCCCAAGCGGGCCCGGAGCAGCGGGCCCCCGGGGCAGGCGCTGGACTCTGCCCTCCGCCGAGCTTTGCACCAAGCAAACAACAAAAAAGAGAGAGACTTTTTAGTAATTAGTGCGACATAATTGAGTAATGCGGTAGCTCCGCGCACCCCCCCCCTTTACCCCCTCCACCTCCCACCTCCCCCCGGCTCTTCCCCGATCGATGCAATATCATTAGGCGAGCGGCACGGAGCCGTGCGGGGCCGGGGGAGCGGGGAGGCGGCGGCACAGCCCGGGGCCGGGCCGTGGGCCCGAGCCGCTGCTGGCACGGGTGAACCCCGCCGGGCTTTTCCTCCCTCTCCGCTTTCCCGAGCAGGGCTCGGAGCGCCCCGAGGCCGCGGGGATGGCCGGGGGCTGAGCCCCGTCCCCGCGCAGGGTCCCGTCCCCGCACCGCTCTGCCCGCGGTCGCTGCGCGCCCCAACGCGGAGCCTGCTCGGAGGCGGCCGGGGCCCTCTCCCCTTCTTTCCATTCGCCAGCTGGATGCTATTGATCCCTTCCCTCGCCTCCTCTTTCTTCCTGAGCTCCCTCTCTCTATTTAATTCCCATCCCTCCGCTCCTCCGAAGCCGCCCGGGCAGCTCTCCGAGAGGAGCCGGGCAGTGCCGGCACCCCGAGGCGCGGAGCCGGGGGCGGTAAGTGCGGAGGGGGAGCTGGGGCCCTCACCCGGCCCCCCCCCCCGCAACCCCGCGGCCTTGGGGACAAGGGGGACGGGGCAGAGCACCCGAAGGGACCGCCGACTGGGACGAGAGGGGAGAGAGGCGCAGTGCGGGGGGAGCCAATAACCACCCCCCCCCCCAAAAAAAAAAAAAAAAAAAAAAAAGCAACAATTAATCCTGGCAGCGCTCAGCCCTCTCAGCACCCCCCGGCCGCCCGTCGCTGCCCCCCGGGGGGAACGGGGTGCTCGGGGCTGCCCGCACCGGACTCGCGGCCGCTCCCCCGGGACCGTCCCCGGGGCGCTCCGAGCAGCTCGGGCAGGGGGCAGCGGCCCCGGGAGCGGTGGGGAAGGGGCGTAGAGGGCAGGGGGGGCACTGCTGCCCCCTCCCCGCTTCTACCCCTGCCTTCCGGGTCCGCGCTGCTGCACTCCAGCCGTTTGGTTTTGCGCTCAAATCTCTCTGTATTTCCGCCCCCCCCCCCCCCGCTCCCCCCCACACACTTAGGAAGAGCTCGAAAACCCAAGCGCCACGGCCAGAAATACATCCAGAGGAGTGGGACGCGCACCTGCGGGCAGGGGTTGTGGCAGCCGGCGGACAGGTACAGCCCAGGGGCTAAAGCTTTTGGTTTTGCCAGGCACGGAACGGGAGCGAGCGGCAACGTGGCTCCCGCGCAGCCCCGCGCATCCCGCCATGGCACTTCCCTATAGGAAATCAAGTTCCTTAAAGTTCTTTAAGGCTTCAAAATAACAGCACCATCGCCTGGCAGGTGAATTATTTAGTGCCTATAGATTCCTTGCAAACCCTTTCATTTCGGTTCCAAATCTTTCCCAGCCCAGCCTTTGCCTATGGATGTCTCGATTTTACAACAATCAAGCGGGAGGCAAAGAGCGTGGCAATTTCTGCTAATCGATTTTCCATACAATGGGCCCCAGATGATGTTTTAAAATGTGAGAAACTAAAATGTGTTGGTTTAAATAAGACTTTTGCAATCAATAGCTTTTAAAAAAAGAGACTTTGATACCGGTTCTTGAAGGGGATTCAAACGCTTTCACTTCCAAAACAAAACAAGGCAGGAAAAGCCAGCGACGCCGGAACAGAAAAGTTCCACCTGGATTTGGGGTTGTTCAAGCGGGATATGGGAAAAACCCGCTCCGGGGGGGCGCAGCGCCAGGACCGAGGCCCCGTCCCGCGGGGGTCCCGCCGCGGGCCCCCCCCTCCGCCCCCGCCGCGCCCCCCGGCTCCGCGCAGCCCCGGCGGGGGCAGCCACGCTCCTGCCGTCCCCCAGATCCCTCCCGACCTTTTCGGGTACGATTTTCCCTTCCCCGATTTCACGGCGTCTCCCTGCGCCTTGAGCTCGGCTTTCTGGCGTTTCGGGGAGGAATTCGGCAGCGGGGCCGGCGGGGGGGCTCCAGCCCTTTCCCCCACAACCATTTTCTGGGCCCCAAACCCCCGCTCCCCCGGGCCGCCCCCCATTGCCCGTTTGCACCTTCGGCGTTTTCCTTTTTCTTTTATTTTTTTCTCTTTGAAAAAATTTTAGCTGCGAGCTCAGGCCCTTTCCCCGCTGCTCGCGGCTTCTTTTCCTTTCCTTTTTGCGGGATGTAGAAATATTTTTATCCCCCCACCCTCTGCGAATAATTTCCTCCATCTCCGTAAAAAACACACCGGG